CCAAGTGCAGAGAAAACTGTCACTGGTCTTTTCTAGCATGCGCTCATCATTTCCTTCTCATGGTTGTTAACAGGCTTTTAAGAAAGTGTCATGACCCTCCAGCTTCACCTCAGTGTCTAACAAGCACTTTTTGTGAGTTTTCTAGAGCAAGGAAAATGTGGCATTTGAGGAAGTGAAAGAAAGTACAATCTCTTCTGTACACTGTGTTATTCCTTTATATCACCTAGAGGTTCTATGGTAGAAAGAAAGCACACATGATGCTCAGACCACAGTTCTGCAGCAAAACTACAAGTAGATACCATGGATTAACAGCCTTGTGTAGACAGACAACTGTCTGCTACGAGCTGGATTGCCAGAGCCTGACCCAGATTGCTGTTGTTCCTCTAGGTTAAATAAAACTAGGAACATTTCCCTTTAGTTTTCCCCAGCTTTGTGATGGGAGAAGCTGCACCTGGCAAAAGTCTTCTTCAAGACTTTAAAGGTGCAGAAGCTCTTTTAAGACCGGGATCTTGTCATTTCTAACTGCCAGATGAGACCTTCATTCTGTGCTGTTTGCACATGACTAACGGAGAACTGAAGTGGATACTGCTGCTTCCCCTTCATGTGAACAGTTGGACTGCCTGCTCTTTCAAGAAGCCATGACGCTGATTCCATACTGCCAATGACCTCTGCTTTCCTTTTTCTCAGAAATACAGCAAAGAGCTAACAAAGAACTTGTGTCTGTGAGTTTCTGCCGAGGTGGAAATGGAAGTAATGAAGAAGTGAAGCCATGGATGTAAATTGGAGACCTTCATCAGGGGCTCTGTCGCCAGTCCCACCAGCTTGAGAGGTACATGAGTATACCAGCAGGGCTTTTTCTGCAGCTCAATTTGGGAATTCCTTCTACTGACTGCCATAAAATCTGTTTTGTTTCACCAGATCCAAGACAACTTCAAGAAGAGACATAGCTGGCCGCCTGGAAGGTCCCATCTCCCAGCAGGGGCCCCCTGACAAGAGCCCTCTGGATTTAATCTCATCACTGCAAACAGCCTGGCCTGGCAAACAAGCAAATAGCCCAAATATGAGAAACAGGGAGCAGCAGCAATAGCAGCTGACCACAGTGGCAGTGAGAAAGTTGACTCACACTGAGGGAGGCCTGGTCCACAGAGGACATCTTGCCCAACAGCACCCAAAAACCTGGAGCTTGTGGTGTGCCAGGGCATGTGACAGAACATAATTATCTGATTTTGTTTTTATGACGATGTGATGTTATCAGATTTTGTTATGAGGGCCCTGTTAGGCAAAAAAGTGATATATATAAATATTTTAAATAAATCAATAAATGACTGATTGAAAAACTGGATGAAGATTTTTCCTGCAGCCAAATAAAGATTATTTTCAGACCCCTCTCCCACCTAAGGCTCCAAGTGCAATTTTGCCGATGGCCTCTCCTCACTATCTGACAAAGTAGCAAGCGGAAAATGTCCCAAAGAACAATACAACACAGAGGACAAACACATTTCCTGAAAGGCAGGAAAAGGCTTAGCAAAATAGATCTCATGACCAACTGAATAAGGAAGAATCCAGCATTTCCCCCACCTTCCAGGACATTCAGCAAATTTTCCATAGAACCTTTTTTGTACATTATCATACAGAGACTGCTTGAAATGAAGTGATGGAGTTTTTGGTTCTGCCCACTGTTTTTCGTATTTTCTCAATATATCATAAATTTAGCTTTTAAATATCCAGTAGGTAGGGCTTATTCTGTGTCTTTAAAAGGATATGTCGGAGAGCCTTCTTGACCGCTATTGCCTCTCAGGGTAGCTGTGCTTAAGCTAGAATGCAAAGAAGGCTGTCCTCCCGCATCTTGTTCTGTTCTGTACTTCCCCAACATGACAAAAGTTTATACAACTCGTATTCCCAGGGTGTGTGTGTATGTATTTAACTACTGGTTTTGAAATTTAATATTAAAACATGTGCTAAATGTTTACTGCAAATGTATATATTAAAACTGTATAAAATACAGAGAGCCAGTGTGGTGCAGTGGGACTCGGGTGATCTGGGTGGTAGTCCCCGCTCAGCCATGGAACCAACTGGGTGATGTCGGGCCAGTCACAGACTCTCAACCCAACCTGTCCCACAGGGTTGTTGTGCTGAGGAGTAAGACTGAGAGCAGGAGGAGGAGAATGATGGAAGGCACTTGGAGTTTGTAAGAAAAATTGGGATAAAAATCTAATAAATAATAAATGCTATAGCACCAGTGACAATAAAACAGGACAATGATGTAAGCGATTACAAGTGGAAAGTCTGTGAGAACAATTCAAGAGGCGTTTAAAAGTTACTATAGTTTCTGCTGTTAAACCACCCTGGGGGGGGGGGGAGCATTCCAGAGGGTAGGTGCCACTACTGAGAAGGTCCTGCTTACATGCTATAACTTGGCAGCATTCTATTAATTATGGAACAACCCGTAAGCCTCACCAAAAGATTTCACATATGGATGAAGGCTGGGGGTGGGGGGAGCAGCAGGAACAAATAGCCTACTTTGGGTAGAATCCTTCACTTGCTGGCCAAATGCAGGGATGGGGGAGGGGGGAAAGCGTGCATTTCTGTTGTGGGTATCATGTATCAGCCTAGGGTATGTGACGATGCACATGTTAGTAGCAGAGGTCTGCCTATGTGGCCCAATTCCCACAAACTTACAATGTGTGTATATTTGGGGTGGGGGTTCTATGAAGTTCCCAAGGCTGTTTTGAATTGCCTTTAGATAAGAGAGCATGAGAGGCTTTAAGGGTATAATCCATTTAAAGCTGGAATGTTTTATCTACCACCGATTTCAATACATAAGTGGTATTCTGAAATACTGATCTTTGGCTATATTGTACCTAAAGAGTTCTTGCAACAATCTGTGTATTGATGCATGTACAAGCCATTACCCAGGTGGAGGAGCACACAGATCAGCAACATTTCCCCTACTCTCCTTCCAAGCATGAGTGAGCTCTCTGCCAGGCCATGGCTCTCTGCCAGGCCAAAACTCTAGTTTGCAGCCCTTCTCACAACATACTTCCAGATGACACACTTTTTCACCGCACCCTGGCAGGTGAGCACGAGTCAGATTCCAGACACTTGAAATTGCCAACTGCCCTTCAGTGTCCACTGCACTTAAACCACCTGAAAGCCTAAAAGAGGGGCCCATCTTGCATATCAGCATGACTCGCTCACAAGTGCTAAGAAATGAACACTTGCCTATTTTAAAATGGAGGCGGAGGGAGGGGGGGGGAGAGAGAGAGAGAGAGAGAGAGAGAGAGAGAGAGAGAGAGAGAGAGAGAGGAGAAGTAACTTGGGCTCCCTTCTGGCATAAGGTGATGTCTGCACAACACAAAACTACAGGTGTTTCACATCAGATATACATTTCTGTGTAACTAAGAGTGCATGTTTAGGCAGAAAATGAGACTCCCACAACACCTACATGGGTGGCCGGGAATGCTGTGAGTCGTAGGACTTGTTTCTGCCTAAATATGAATAGAGCTGAATCTTCAACTAGGTGCTGTTTGCTGTGGCAGAAACTAGGGGGTGTTGCTTTTCACACCGTTACTAATTACAGGTGATCATCCCATGCATGGTCACTTGGGAATAAGGCCCACTGAGACCTGGCCTCTACTGAGCCTCCAGTTGCTGCTCTGCCTCCAAGTCGTCCCGAGGCAGAAGCTCCTACAAATCATCCCTGCATTTTCCTGGCAGTGAACATGCAATAGTTAAATAATGACTGTTTCTTTTTCATGATGATCCACATTGCCTGTCTGACACAGCTGCCTGAGGCTGTGTGTGGCATGAAACTTGTCTCTTACGATTTTAAAAGGTAGAGATGGGCAGGGGAGAGAAAGCCACTTGATTTCAGGGGGAAAATGGGAGGCAAAGCACGTGTGGGTAAAAAGCCAGCTAGTCCAGGGGGATCAGATGCATCAGGGGTCCTGTATGTTTATTTCTGCAAGTGCCATTTCTCTCTGGTTACATGAAAAGCAGCATCTTTCAAAATAACTTTCTGCATGAGGGACTCTAGCCTATGAAAGCTTATGAAGCTGCAGTAAATTGGTGAGCTAATGTACCATGAAGCACTGCAGTGTTTGAACATAAAAGCACAAGAAACCCCCGTCTTCCTCCCATATCTATTTACCTCTCAGGAGGCTACTGCAGACTTTGGATGCCCAGGAGAGCCATGTACCATGGGTCGCAGAAACATATGAGCCGTGCACCATGGGTCACGGAAAAAGCAGGTGTTTTCCAGAAAGACGATTGCAGAGCAAGGAGCTCCAGACATACTCAGTCAACAAGTCATATGCACATTGGTTGCTATGCCCCAGATTCAGATATTGATGTCCATTCAAGCTCTTTTTGCAAGCAAACCCACAGCTGTTTACCCCCAAGGCAAGGAACCGGGGCCAGGTGGGGGGGAAGCAATGGATGAAGGAGGCCTCTGGGGCCCCATTTGATGTGTGCCTGTTGTTCCTCTTGTCAGGGTCACATATGACATTTCCCAGTAGCGATTGGCTGGTCATTTCCGGAGAGTAGGGCACACTCAATGGAAGCTGGGTGGCAGTGATGCCAGTGGACAATTTTGGGATCTGGACTGAATTAAAATGAGCAGACTGTGGAAGGAAAGGGTGGGGGGGGGATCTCTAGCTGAAGAGGCTGGTGCCTTCACAGGACACCACCTACTAATCTGCTAAGGTCTCCTAGTAACTGCAGGGCTACTGAGTTCAGAGGGGAAAAGCGGGCTTGTATTACGGTAGACGATGGCAATTGGGCAGCTGCAGAGAATCAGGGCGCGGCTAAGAAGTCCTGACACCCACCCGTGTCCAGCTCGTGGGCTATTTAACACGGCCCACGCTGGACATGGGGGCGGAGCTAGTCGCTTCTGCTTTCGCCCCCCCCCCCCCACCGGCGATTCTGTGAAGTTGCAGAGTGAGCGTAACGGGAGGGTGAATCACGAACCCGGAGCCAATAAAACGTTCATTGAGGCGGCGCAGTGCTGAACTCTGCAAAGTACAGCCAGGAACCGGGGGGGAGAGAGAGAGAAGCAGACACACAGAGAGAGACACACACAGACAGACCGACGGGGAGCTGGTATCGCTACCACCATGAGGGAAATAGTCCACATCCAAGCTGGCCAGTGTGGAAACCAAATTGGAACCAAGGTATGGCAAAACCAGACCAAAACGCCTTATGTTGTTGATGATGATTCTTCTATTGCCGAGGGGTTGTAAATCCTGATGGTTCAAGTACGGGGTGTTCTGCTTGTGCTGGTACCATGCCTTCTCCCTTAAAACTTCGTCTGCAAAAACAGATAATTTTGGAAAAGTACATTTAAATAGTCCCTTAAGTCACGAGGACCATGATGAAATTTTCTCTAAAAGTTTCACTTCTACTGGAGGAAAAGTTTCTCCTGCTGCAGCGGATTGTGTGTGTGTTTGGGCACTCTTAGGCTAGAGAGCTGGAAATCCACCAAAATGGGAACGAAATAACTTGCCTCTTTCATGTTGACCATAAAAGGCTTTGGAGAAATTGAAATGGAAGGGGGAGATACTGGGGAAGAAAGATTTAAAGGAGAAGAAAGGCTACGTGAAATGAAAGGGCGCTGAGGTCTTAACGGTTCTCTCTCTCATCTGAAATCCTGATGCGAATCTGCCTAGTTTCTGTCTTTTTTCCCCACCCCACCCCACCCCATAGCTTCTCTTTTCAAGCCAGGATCAGGGAGGGGCTCAGAAGCAGCTCGCAAGTATGTCGAGCATTCGCAGCTGTTGCCGCAGCACATGCCTTGAAGGTCTGATTTGTCTTTGCCCAGGATGGGTGGGTTAGAATGACTTGTAATTAGTGGAGGGAAGAGAGATTGAGTCACACCCCCCCCCCCACCCCCCCCGAGAGAGAGAGAAAAAACGAACAGGGTTCTCATGTTTATTGTTCTACAGAGTTTGCCTCATTTTTCTTTCCTTTTTGCCTCTCAAAGTTTTGGGAAGTGATCAGCGATGAACATGGCATTGACCCAGCCGGAAGCTCTGTCGGTGATTCACCGCTGCAGTTGGAAAGAATCAATGTCTATTACAATGAATCATCTTGTAAGTGTGGAGCTCTTGGGCAAAGGTAGTGATGTGATTTCTTTATGGGAACAGAAATGACAAAGAACGGCCCATGCCAACACGTTTCCCCCGCAAGCTTGATTAATCAGTGTGTGTGCATGTGCCTGTGTGCATGCACACCTGTATGTGTCTTTTATTCAATAAATAGCCATCCAGCGATTGCAAAATTAAACTCGGTGCACATCGAGTTTGCGCATCCTGCTAATCCAGCTTGGTCAGGCTCAGTGGGGTGATAGCAGAATTGACACATTCCCTCCCCACTGTGATTGTCAGCCGTGTGTTGCCTGCAGCACCTTTTCTCCTTCAAGCTTCTTCTTTTTTTTTTGTTTTTGTTTTTTGTTTTACAAGATCATCTTTTCCCTGTTTTATGAGATCACGTCAGTCTGTCAGCCTCTCCAAAGTACCCAAGCAGTAAATAGAAGGGGCCACCCCTTTAAAGAAAAAAATGTATTACGTGTACACACTTTTATTTGGTATTTAGAGAAAACAGACTTGCACAAGTGTGGAGGTGAACACTTGTGTGGGTCTGAAAAAGGGAAGCTTTACCTGGACGATCTCCTGGATGAGAGGTAGTCCAAATTTGGGGGGGGGTCCCCTTTGTTTTCCCTGACAGTTGTCAATAGGGAACAAATGCACAAGAGATCTTTGCTCACAAAACACTGGCAACATTGACTCCTCCTCTGCAGCAAGATCCTTATGTATTTCTGTTTGCCTTAAGATGATGTACATTTTGCACTTTCCCCTTATACTCTGGCTGCTGAGCAAAGTGCAAAATTGTATCCCGCCCTATCATTCTGGGAAAGGTGCGACAGCCATATGCCCTATCACAACCTCATTTTGAAGGGATCAGCTAGCTGTGAAAACTCCTTTCCCTGAAAGCAGGGGATGGGATGCACTTTTGCAAGTAACTAGAATTTCAGGAAAAACTGCAAAATCCACAGCACCCTTATGATTATCAGGGCAAAAAAGAAAAAGAGGAGGGGCAATTGACTACAAAACTGCCCACATTTCTTTGTTTTCCTTTGACAACTCAACTTTGGCAGCTATCGAGGGAAAGCAAAGTGAAAAATGAACCTATTTGGACCCTTTCTGGGTCATTGTCCAGGGGACACCTGACAGCAGGTGCCCCTCTTCAGACCCATGTAAGTGTACACTTCTGCATTTGTGAAAATCCAACTATAAAAATAAAAATTAAAAAAATCACCTGTATTTAGGCTGTGTTTCTTTTTGTAAAGGCTGGCCACCCAACTGCAGCTCCTGACATGTACAGCTTGGGCAGTTTGAAAGGACTGCTGATGGTGGTGACAACGAGCAAGGTTGCTGTGAACCTTGGTTGTTGCGGTTGGTGTTGTTCTACTGCCCGTGACACATGGCTCAGTCACTGCTGGACTTTTCCTATGGTGACTCAGTCTTACGAGCTTGGATGACACAGCAATCCACCATGGCTAAAATATACCCTAGAACAGTCCATGGGCAAAGTGGGTTGGGTTCAGATGATAACCAGCCATAGTGACTTATTCTTCATGGATCGTCATGCCATTTGAACCAGGTTGTTGGATTCACTTAATGTAGCAAGAAAGTTTTAAAAAGAGGGAACAGGATGTGAAATATAAGTTGATTACAATCAGTCTCTCCCTTTCTTCTTTAATATAAGCAAAACATCTTTCTTAGTTGATGGTTGGTTGGCAGCATATCTAGCTGGCCTTGATTTCCAATTTAACTGGGGAGAGAGAACAGGGCCACCTGCATTCATTCCACACAAGTGGGGAAATGGGCACTTGGGCACACAGCTAGAGGGACTCTGCTTTATTTTAATTTTTAATATTTGAAGGCTCTTGCTTGTACAGCTGTGAAGATGGGATTGGAAAAGGACATGGATACCTAGGGTGAAATCTGAGAGTGTTAGAATTGAAATTCCAAGCAGTGATGATACAGGAGGCAAAGTACCAAGCAGTAATAGTTTAACATGTTCTTGCAAGAGCGGGCGCTCACCACACAGGTAGCGCAGAGTTTCCACCAAAGACCTTGCCTTTTATTCCCTTTTCCTGGCTCGCAATCCCTGCCTCTTTTCTCCCTTTGGCTGGGTTACTAAGAGTTCACAATCTTCTCCGCATGCCTACATCATACTACTCTTTGATACGTTCCCCCTCCAGCTAATACATCCCATGTTCATGCTAATGAGCCCATTACCTATGAGAGGTCTGTCAGTCATTAAGCATGTGCACTACTTTCTAAGAGTTCAATAGGTCATCTTGGCCTTGTAACTGTCTCGCTTGATGACCACTTATTTCCTAAATCTTGTAGGAGGATGAGGTAGGAGAACAGCCCTTCCTCCGAGCTCATTACGGCCAGTTGTAAGAGGCAATCAATTTCCTACTCCCTTCTGCAGAAGGTGACGGTTTTGCCATTGCCCCAACCTCACCTCTCTTGTGTTCTTCAGGACTTTGATGTAAGAAGCACTCTTCTACCATTTCTCTTGAGTCCAAACTCAGCCATACCATATACTAAAAGCCCACCTTTATCTGTTTACTTCAGTAACCAATTCAAACCTGCCTATTTACTTCTACTTCCTATTCACAACTCTTTACATGGTTCTGTACTCAGGCCCTTAGTCTTAGAAAGGTCTCAATGGCCTAACCCTAGCTCTTTATTTTATCTTTGCTTCAGTTATCACCTTCCTACTTAATAACAGTAATTTTCCTTCTCTCACAATAGGAAGAAACAAGCTGGACATTTAGGAGTCAGGAAAGGAACTTACACTATTTTGTCCTGCCCTAATTGAAGTGTTATTCTACGTGGAGTATTTTTATTGATAGAAGAACAATTCAATTTTTCTGTCTTTTTATTCTCTTATACACCCAGAGTATGGCTTTCTTTGGTTCTCAAAGTAGGTGGTAGGCCTATTTAAGGAGGTTTCTAAGGACGACATCAACTTCCCCTTTGGCCCCCTTCTTCCCCATTTTGCTCAGAGGCAATGGAGGGCTAACTTCATCTGTGCCAATCAGAATGGTGTCCATCTCTGAGTGGTATTTAGAGTTAGTACTGCTTTTTTTTTCTTTTTGGTAGATCCATGGGAAAGCTCCTCTCCCCACCCCCCACCCCAAAAGCACTGTGCATTATTTGGCCTTTAGAAATATGGGGGCTTTTCTTGTACAGCTTTGATTCCATACTCACAGTTATTTGGATTACAGATGATTTAACTGATGCCATAATTCTCCAATTTAGCTGCTTTGTTTTCAGAACACTTTTTTGTTTCTTTTAGAGCTAGGAAAATGCTGTTTTTTTCTGCAAGCAAAAGATACTGTTTCATGCTTGTGCATGTGTGCTATTCCAACAGAGAACAGCAGCGACTAGGGGTTTTTTAGTGGGAAAGCTCTTTGAGTAGAAAAGAAACTGAAAGAAGATACATTACTGCGATGAACAATCTTATTATTTACTAAAGTTCTTCCAGCCCTCCAGGGCTTGTACCAGTGCTTAATTTCTAGAAAGAGCTAGTGCTAGAACTTAGAGTGCAAGGGTTTGTTCCCAGTTGTGCAGGAAGTGACTTGTCACTTTAAGTGTTTCCAGGCTGGTGTTGTTTTGTTCCATTCACTTATAATACTGCCAAAAACTACTAGTGGACCTCTCCACCTGCTGCTCTCCCAGGTAGAGCCTGCCAAAAGTCCTCACTTCCAAAAGTTCCACCCAGAAACTCACGGGCTTCAGCTGAATGGGTGACTTGAGAGGGAGAATCCCCCCGCTCCCATCCCATCAGGTGAAGGAACCCTTTATAGGTTAGGCATTTCTATCAATGAAAGGCAAATCCTGCATCCAGCACATTGGCTTTCCATGGTTGGTTTAGAGCTTTTCGCATGTGTGCATGGTCTGTCCACATGTGGGGTGTGCGTGGCTGCATGAGTCACAATTCTAAATTAGCACTGACTGGGAAGGCACTGCATGCTTTTAAAAAATGGGAAAAATGCTTTTCACATGCATTAATAATTCTTTTTTTATAAAGACATTTCACTTCACTAATGACTGTAAAGTTTTAAAAGCATGTTGCTAAAATGTTGGTGATCCAAAAGCTAATACTGTTGCTGTGCTGAAATGTAGGCGATACGAATGCCACTGAATATGACACTGCAAAACCACAAATATTAGAGAGGAAGAAATAGCGCTAAGGCAGAGGGGAGTGACCTCCAGCCTGGGAGCTGAATTCAGCCTTCTGAGGTTTCTGGAATGCCCCAGCCCTTTCCCCCAATTTCCAATTGTTTGACAGTTCCTAGGTTTTTGTGCCCCTCCGGCCCACCCCTGCCCCCATTCTAAATGGTTGATACTCCTCTTCAGTGGATTAGTAACTTCAGTAAGATCTATAAGAGAAAATATGCCAGTCTTTTTTGGAGCGGGGGGTTGGCCCACTCCTTTTTCCTGTCCACTCACTGCAATCCTCCACCCAGGTTCTCTGAACCTCAATTCAACCTTGAAGCTGAAAGAAGTTCTCCCTTGTTTCACCAAGGTGACCAACACATCTAGAGAGTAAGCCCTTGTTCTCTTCTTTCTCCCAAAGTAAGCTTTTTTTTAAGATTTCAAAAGAGGTGGAAGAAATACGAAGAAAACACAGGACAGCATAGATTACATAGTTCCATATATGTATATAGAGCTTGTCAAAGAACAAATATGAGAAGGTTCCTACACCGAAGGGTTTACTTTCCAAAACAGAAGCAGAGTAGTAATAGGAAGAAGCAACCTCACATCTCCGTCTGCTCTCTTTCAGTGAGGGAGGGAGAGAGTCTTGCGCATATTGGTCTTTCTGCGTGTCCCATGATTTCTGTGGCCTTGAGGGCAAATATAGTTGCCCACTCATGCTATATGTCCACAGACAGGGTTTCTTTTGACTCAGGCAAGCTTAGCAGGACACTGTTTGCAGCAGACAATGGCTCACGAATAGCAGATCCCTAAATGCCAGGAGTCATTGTCTCAGCCCAGTAGCGTGCAATCCCACCATTCTTTACAAATATGAGCCTGTTAAGCTGCTGTCCTGCCGGATTGGGTAGTTCATTCTCTAAACCCCATTATAAAGGCTCTCGACACTTTTGCTGGGGTGAGGCCTCCCACCCTTTGATCCCCGGCTCTTCGCTGTTGTGCTGTGTGAAATCTCTGTTCTAATCCCTCTGCAGCTTGATGCATCAAAAGGCTCTGGTCAGAGTAGGGCTGGGGGCAAGGGATGGTGAAGGGGCTATTGCTCCTCTCTGGGCTGACGCACATGCAATTGGGCTGTGGCTTGAGCTGCTTTAAGGGGCAATAGGGAACTCTCAGGCGACCAACAAAAAGTTAGTGGATACCAACCTGCTAATGCAGGCCTTGCTTTTCTGTCTTCTCTGTAAGCTGTCCAAAGACTTTTAGTAATGGGATGACATATAAAAGCTTTGAATGAATGAATGAATGAATGTCCTTTTGGGGGACTGTCCTGGGTGGGAGAGGAGAAGGAGAGAATGTGTGCCTAAACCCTAGATTTAAGGAAACAAATGATATAGTCAGTTTTATTCTTTGCTCCTTTCCTAATGAACCCCATTGTAGAATTTGACCTTTTTTCTTTTCTTTTTTCTTACATTGATTGACATCTTAATAAGCCACAACACCAAGATACTTTCTTGGTCAATCACTGCCAGCAAGACTCCATCAGCATATATATATGAAGTTAGCATGCTTTGCCCCTGTGTTCATCACTTAACATCAGCTTACATTCAACTGCATTTGCCATTTAAATCCCCATCTTACTTTGCCAGTCCCTTCCTCTTCTATCTTCCTGGAACCTCACCTGAATGCCAATCAACTCCTCCCTTTTGAGATTACTTGTAGCACAGGATTTTCAGATTTATGCTGCAATCCATAATTTATTGATCCATAGAAATGGGGAACCACAGAGATGGAGAGAGTGGCAAAACAATCTGAGATTAGCATGTCAGCAGAAGTCTAAATTGTAGGAAAACTTGAATAAGAAAATGTAAGTTGTCTTCCATAATGTTTAAAAGCAGATCCAATTCATTTTGGATCTTGAAGCTAGGTAAAAGAATTGTACACACAGGAACAAACATCTCTATTAATTTTATTAGCCAACTAAAAGAGTAATCCTATGCATATTTATTCAGAAGAAAGCTTCACTTTATTCTGTGGGATTTATATGCTTAGGATTGAAACACTCTACAATATGATTACATGTTTTCATTACATTGTTACTTTATTGCCCCAGTACCAATCAGCACATGTTTCCTGTGTGTATTTGCTGCAGCTTCTCTGGGTTGTGGGCTCTAAATTTCTCTTCTTTTCCCTAAAAAATAGCATGAGCTCACACAATTCCATATACTTACCTATACACTTGTTAGGTATGTGAAAGGAAGGATATTGGGCAAAAATGGTGGGACTGTGAAGTTGTCAAATATCTCTTGTTAAAAAGGGTTTTAACACCAAAGAAGGGAGCAGACCAGTGACTGAAGTGGTAGAAACTGGGAGCGAGACATTTTTCTAAAAAAAATCTATGAAAGTTATCTACTGTTTCCTGAGATCATGCAAAAACAAACTGGTACAGATGTATGATACTTAAAAATAATGATGAATAATTATATGACTGCACTTGTGAGAGAAATGCAATCTTATAAACTAGATGCCAAATAAATATGTTTTTATTTTTCTTGTAGCCCAGACATATGTACCCAGAGCAATTCTGGTGGATTTGGAACCTGGGACCATGGATAGTGTACGATCTGGCCCATTTGGACAGCTCTTTCGGCCTGATAATTTCATATTTGGTATGTTAATGATTTTTTGTTCAAAATTTGTCAGGTAGATCATGCATTGAAATGCATACAAAGCGTGCAAACCCTTGCTTACCATCACTTTTGGTGAGTGCCTTTCTCTTTCCCATTAACTTATCTTAGGAAATGCTAAATGTGGCCTCAAAAGTACATTCAGATTGCAAATGCATTTCTGTGTGGCCTGCAGAATTATTTCATAATTTATTGTACAGTTTGTACAATACAGCCTACAACAGTTTGTGCTGGTTTTCCCCAGCCTGGTGTTTTCCAGTAGACTTGAATTAAAACTCCCAGAATTCCTGACCATTTACCATGTTGCCATGGCTTATGGGAATTGGTATTCAAATATCTGCAGGGTAACAGGTTTGGGAATGCTGATTAATGCCATATTAAATGCTAATCTTTATGGTGCAAGAAGGCTTTGTCTTTGTTGCAACAGACTAATGCAGCTGCTCTCCTAGATATTTGGAAGTTTACTATCTTTTGTCTTTTTCAAGTAAATAAATGGTTTCCTGGCCAAACAGATTGACTGTTTTTTAAAGAATAGAGCAGTTTGTGCTTGGTGGAAAACTGAAGGGAGGGAGAAAAAGAGAGATGTTCGAACTTACATTAAAAACATTCCAAGGCATTTTGCTCAAAAACTATGTCAAGAGTTTTACTTTGCATTTTGATTTTTTTCCCTGTATTACACCAGAAAAAATGTTATGGATGCAAATCCATGCAGTCTAAGTGTTGGACCTGGTCTTCATAATGTGCGTTGATGCATTTGTTTGTATTTGGCATGATAAACATTGTGGTGACTTTGGCACTTCAGATTCATGAAAGGAATTTGTCTCAAACATCCTTGATGTAAAAATGTCAAAGCAACCATCTTTGAGATGGAACTGAAAACCTGTACTATCAGTTGACAGGTAACTTTGGACCACTTTTACATATAACTTCAAGCACCTGCCTTCTTGTAATTGGTAAAGTCAGCTGCAAGGGACTTTACACTGATCACTAGGAATGTATCCTTTCTTAGAAGTAAGAACTGCTCTCTAGGAAATCTTCAAAGAACAATTGACTGCTAATCACGGAAGCATTTGCTGTTTTTTTCCCTCAAGTTTGTTGAGGCTCAATCATGCTGTGCTCTCCGGGGATAGCAAGGGGCTGTGTCTCTGATTTCATTACCGCATGATCTAGAATGGACAGTAAGATGAAGTCCAGAAAGGACACTAAATAAGTGCTGGAACACTATGGACACAATTCAGCATAAATCCTTTTTAGAGTAGACTTATTGAAATTAATGTGATTTGGTATGACTATCTTTTCATTTAAATAGGCCTACTCTAAATAGGGTTTGGGGTAAATTCCAGCTTATTTTAAATTTTGTACAGCTGAAGCCTTTGTATGCATTAAGCTTTTGTTGTGCATTTGTCATTCCCTCTTACAAGTTGTATACAGGTTCTTTAGATGATATAATGACCTTCCGGTTTCACTTTTTCTTTGTTAAAAATCAATGGATTGACCTAAGTCATTATTTAACCAGTGAAACTAAGGTTGACATCCCAAACAACCTTAGTTCCCAATCTAGGAAGTAATCTGCTGAACACAGCATGGCATGCTTAAAAGACTATTCATGGGGTGGCGTTTGAAGTGCAGCTAGGAGGGTGATCTTTGCCCCAAAATGGAACTTGGCATGAGAATACACTTTCTGGAAGTCACATTCAGTGTACTGAAATGAGGACGAGGAGAAAGTTAATTGGGATCTCCTAGCAGATGTCTTAGTGAATTGATTCCCAATTATTTTAACAACAATGAAATAGCGACAATTAAAAAGACCTCCGCACCCCACCCCTTTCTGCTGAAAATAACACCTGAAGGGAAATCAGAAGATTTTTCTGTGAAAGACTGGTTGAGCTGGGTGTTGGTGTTGATCACAAACTTTACATCTGCCTACACCTGAATTAAGGCAAGGGTGAACAAAAGGTTGGTTGGGATCTACTGATCAATCTCTGGGTGAATACCAGTAGATCACTTAGTGCTCCCACATCTGTGAAATGAATTTTGCATCTAAATTAGGCTATTGAAGTGTAGTTTAGGGATAATGAAGAATAGGTTGTTATGTTGAGAAGACTGTGAGCTTAGGCTGCTTCTGACATTGAAAACAAATTCCTCATCTCAGAATGTGCTCAGCTGTAACCTTTGGCTGTCAGATCACTAGACCTGATTCACATTATCAAAATAAGCCACCATGCCTTATCAGCGCTTGAGTGCAGCTTGTCATGTCACCTGACCCTGGACAACATACTTCGTTGGAGAGGAAAACAACCCTACAGTAATGCAGGTGTGCTGGTAACCATAATAGCCTGTTTAGATCATGCCGAACAGATAATGGATTTTTAAAAATCACAGGTTACCTCTGCAAAGCTTCTGAGCCTAGGAACTTGCTGTACATACGATTATTTTGATTGTCCAAAGCAGTCAAAACAATATGTCTTTTGTAAACAAAGTAGATCTGACAAGCCTGAACTCTGCTGAGCTCATGCCAGTAAGTACTTGAACATAAGACTGCACTTCAGTTTAATTAATTTTGGGTATTATTTAGTAACTTGAAAAGCGTTTGCTGAAATGCAAAATGAAAAACTTTCAGAGCATTTAATAGTGAGAAGCCATTGCCACAGAGATTTCAAGTCCATGCTTCTTTCCTTTCGTGGTGACCTATGCTTCTCACCTTTTTGTTTATATTATTTCAGGACAAACAGGTGCTGGAAATAACTGGGCCAAAGGACATTATACAGAAGGAGCAGAGCTTGTAGATTCAGTGCTTGATATAGTAAGAAAAGAATGTGAACACTGCGATTGTTTGCAGGGATTTCAGCTCACTCATTCCCTTGGAGGGGGAACTGGCTCTGGGATGGGAACTCTACTCATCAGCAAAATCCGAGAGGAATATCCTGATAGGATAATGAATACCTTTAGTGTCATGCCATCACCTAAAGTCTCTGACACTGTCGTAGAACCGTATAATGCTACACTCTCCGTTCACCAGCTGGTGGAAAATACAGATGAAACCTACTGTATTGATAACGAAGCACTTTATGACATCTGCTTCCGCACTCTGAAACTCACCACTCCAACATACGGGGATCTGAACCACTTGGTGTCGGCTACAATGAGTGGGGTGACAACATCATTGCGTTTCCCAGGCCAACTAAATGCAGATCTACGCAAGCTGGCAGTCAACATGGTTCCATTCCCACGTTTGCACTTTTTCATGCCAGGATTTGCTCCCTTAACTGCCAGAGGCAGCCAGCAATACCGGGCCCTCACAGTCCCAGAGCTCACTCAACAGATGTTCGATGCCAAAAATATGATGGCAGCTTGTGATCCAAGACACGGACGGTATCTGACAGTAGCCACAGTCTTCCGAGGACCCATGTCCATGAAGGAAGTTGATGAACAGATGCTGGCCATCCAGAACAAGAACAGCAGCTACTTTGTGGAATGGATCCCAAATAACGTCAAAGTGGCAGTTTGCGATATAGCACCCCGGGGCCTTAAGATGGCCTCCACTTTTATTGGCAACAGCACCGCTATTCAAGAGCTCTTCAAAAGAATCTCAGAGCAATTCTCAGCCATGTTCAGGAGAAAAGCATTTCTTCACTGGTTTACAGGTGAAGGAATGGATGAGATGGAATTTACTGAAGCAGAGAGTAATATGAATGACCTTGTGTCTGAGTACCAGCAGTACCAAGAAGCTACAGCAAATGATGGAGAGGAAACATTTGAATATGAGGAAGAAATTAATGAATAGAAGCTATTTAATGTGATTCCCAAAATGCTCAAGTCTGAATAGCTAGTTCTAGCTCCAGTCTTTTCCAAGATAGTTAAGAATGCATAGAAGGGCTTATTTTTCAGGGCCTGGGTCTTCTTAGCCACTGCTGACCTTGAAGTGGATGTTGAATGTTCTGCACCAGATGCTAATCTAAGGTTCTGCTCTAAATCAGTTATTCTCCTGGCTTGAGAATGTTGGCTTAGACTTTAGATGCCACTCGACTTATTAAATAGGTGTACCTGTCTCTCGGAATGGAAGGAAGCAGAGGATTATATTGTTTTTGAAAAGAGGGCTAACAGTTTTTCCTGAGAAAAAAGACCAGGTTTGATCTTATTCACACATTTAAAAGTAAACGCTATTGATACTAGTGGGACTTACATCCAAGTAAATGTGTTTTTGAATTGCAGTGTTGGTGAGCCTTTTGAGTGCTATTCTGTATGGAGTATCTAGTATTGAGCCGCTGGGAACACACTCTAATAAAAATGATGGAAAGAATCCTTTTACTCTTTTGCATATTGCATGATTGTAAACTGATGTTCAAGTATGTTTGTCAGGTATGTTCCCCTTGACCTTGTGCAAACAAGACCTCCTTGGCTTCTTCCTACAGAAGCCCCTTGCAAATATGGGAGCCAATTAACAGAAAGCAGATAGCATCATCTATGAGCAGCACACTTCCATGCATGGATGACAGATCCTGGATCCAACCCAACGAATTTAAGCAATTCCTTGCCATCTCAATAGAAAAACAGGACACGGTGTGGGGTGCAGATTCTACAAAATGAACTACAGGAGCTAAATCAAGCAGACGAAGAGAACTAGTCTTTGGCATAGATTTGCACACAACTTATTTTGGCATTGCTTTTCTTTTTTCTTCCCTCACTTGGCTGTCTACGCATTGCCCCATTGATAATAGAAACCCCAAAATAAGTTTGATGCTGTCTTGTCAAGGCTTAGCTGAATCTATACAAGTAATTGCCAAGCTCATTCCCCTTCATAGGAACACAAGAACTGCCTTGCTGGTTCAGATCAAAGTCCTATCTCATTCAGCACTGTTACCTGCAGGAAAACTCAAAACTAAAAACAGAATTGAGATCTGCAGTTTGCAAGCAGTTGTTCAAGGGGTCTAGCTTGTTGGTAACTTTCTATGTTCTGCAGCTTCTCCAGTTGTATAATATCCTGGACATGAAGTGTGATGTCCAAAACGCAATGCAGCATCCCAAACATAGCAATGATACAGATTAGTATAAGGCTATTATAATATTTTTGATTCCTAATATGGATTTTTTTCTTTTTCACATTTGCTACACACTTGAGTATTTTCATCAATACCATTAAAGGTAGTTCCTGTTCAATTCTAGCTAGCTAGCTTCATAACGTAACTGAAATCGGAAATTTTGCCCTGACATCCCTCACTTGATACTTCCTTACACTGAACAGCATTTGCCATTTAATGTTCATTCCTTTCATTTGGGAATGGGAATATACTTTCAGATCCCACTTTTAAATCACTGCTTCTTACAACCAAATTATTTAGACAGTTTTTATCTACAAACTTAACATCCTTACCACTCATCACCAACTCCAGATAATTTGTTCATAAATTTAAAAGCACCAGCTGAATACATCACTTTGAAAGATACTGTTTAAATCCTTCTGTTGTCAAAACTGCCTGCTGGTCTTTAACCAGCTACACTTTCATCTCCTCCTCGTGCTAGTGAGCCACTGATTATTGTGAATACTCTGCTGAATTTAGTTGTGTGCAAAGGGAAATGAAGACAAGAGATGAACTGTTAGCCCATCAGATGCTGTTGGACTACAACTCCAAACATTCCAGTTATTACATATCTAATATATTGTTTTATAACTACACAAAGAATGTAATATAGTTTGTCATTGCACAGTGCAGTGCTTTTATTGAATGTTTCCAAACTGTATTTACAAAATACAATGCATTCATAGGTTTACTATCTTACAACTTCCTGTAGAAAAAAAAAACCCCATTATTAAAACTGCAATATATAATTTAGATTTTATACTTCATTGTAGCCCATGACCCATAATTCTAATGGAAAAGGTCTTTAGCAGATTTTTGATTCCATCACTGATACCTGCACAGGTTGGGGGGGCTTTTTTTTTCCAAATGGCAAAGTGAGGAGATACATTTAAATAAAAAGAGAAGTAATGTTTCCACTGAACAGTAGAGATGTCACAAAATATCTGAACTCCAGGTACATGTCAGCAATCATTTCCTGCATGCTAATTTGCAAGGAGGCAGCATTGGTAGAGGATTTTTTTAAAATTATCCCTCCTAGATTCAAGTTCTATATTTGCTTACATGTATCTGGTAATGGACACAAGTTACACCTTTCAGGTAATGGATCCGAAAGCTAGCAGGGAGCTCAGTATAGGCCTGTTAGGTCTCCACCTTTTTGTTTTAGAATGCAGCATTTGACAGAATTTGAATACTCCTTTGCGTAAAACAAACAAAAATCTTCATGGCTCCACCACTTCTGCAGGCTTGCTGATTTTCAAACAGCACGTTCTTAAAGGAGACAGAACTCTTTCCCCCTCTCTTTCAGTGCACAACACTAACACAGTGTCAGTTCAGATACACCACCCTATTTCAACACTAAAAAGGCATGTCTCCTGTAATCTGTCTGGCTATTTGCTCATCTGTTGTCTCCTCATTCTCCTTCTCACGATCTTTGTTCCAGTCTTTAAGACCTTCGGGAAGTGAAGTGTCTTCATCTAAGCTGCCAGTGCCTTCAACAAATTCTTCATAAGTTGATTTTTCAGCAAATGGTCTGGGGCCAAGCAGTTCAATCATATCACTCTTATCCAACACCTCCTTTTCCAGGAGACGTAAAGCAACCTGGAAAAACATGGATGCACACACGTCATGCAATGCAGTGTACAGAATGCATTTTGACTTATTTTGCATGAAAAACAAAACCTAGGCTTTAACATTTCACTTATCACAAACAGTGTGCTAATAACAGCTATTATATTAAGCTGTAGGCTTTTTTAAATGCTGGCTGCTGACCAAGCATCCTGTGAGCACCCACCACTAAGATTACTACTAACAAGGTATTCCAATGGAGATGATACAAGGCACTTTGGCATCAACTGTACCCTGCCTTTAAGCTGAAATGTCAAGTGCACACATTCTGCAATGTATGAGCAAAGACTCCCCCGCCCCTTTTTTTGGATGTCAGGGAAAAGTCCACACATGCATATCAATTGCATGAATGGAAAACCCCTGCTTAAGCAGAGTTAAATGTAGGAGCTTTTGTACTGTAATTAGGGCCATTCCATATAAATCTAACAAAGGGCAAAAAAGAACGTAACATTCTAATTAGTGGACATTGTGCCCTATTGCTAATACATTTATGAGGTTGGGTCCATAGTTGAATGGGGTTTTACGAAGTAGATGATCCTAGGGAAGGCTATTGGTTTAATTTCATTCCTCGTGCAGTCCTTCACGTTCCCAAAAAATATTTTCTAAAGGGTTGGTGGACCCTCTCTAGAATAGCGTATGAGGTGGCTCTGTGGGAAAAGAATCACCACTTAGCCTGCAGCAGGGATGCTCTGTGGCAACTTGAGTCCCTCTCTCAGTCTGCGAAGGGTCAACTCTGAATCTATTCTAGGCTTATAGAGCAACACTGTTTTGACAACATATTGATACAAGAACCTTGCAAACTTTTAAAAAATGGTAAGTTAGCACGTACCTTTTCCACTTCTGCTTTCTTTTCATTTAGGAGAGACAACGTCCGTTCATAAGCTGTATTAATAAGCACCCGCACCTCTTCATCTATCAATCTTGCAGTTGCCTCACTGTATGGTTTTTCTAAGACCATGTCTCCTTGCCGAGGAAGATCAAATGAGATCTGCCCAACTTTTTCATTCATCCCAAACTGAACAATCTGAAGATTGAACGACACAATAGATACACTTGAACAATTTCCTGTAAGAAGTTAAAGACACACTTGTAGGAAGACCTTATTCTAGTTATAATTTCACCTTAACAGTCAAAACTGATCTAATACTATATTGCTGATATGATTTTAATATGAAGCCAAAATTAGCTATTGGCAATAGTTGTATTCCTTTAAAAGCCTATAAAGAAATCTATTGTTCCTAAAGTATTCAATAAACATGAGGAATTCAATAATAATAGGCATTGATATTGGTATTAATAGGTATTATTAATGCTTTAAAATGGTAATATTTTCATGCAATTTCTGCATGTTAATTTTTATTTTTTTCATGAGGAAAGAAGTACTCCTAACTTAAAAATCAGGGCACAGGAGCCAAGGCTTCACCCTTGATCTTTTGTATATATTAGATTTTAGAAGAATCTTTCAGCTGATTTATGAAACGATGACAGTGTAAAGTGTATATTTTGAGCAAATAAATATCAAGTGTACAACAATAACCTTGTGCAGCTGTTTCTATTCTACAAAATTGTTCAGAGAATTGTGCAGGAAATACAAACCTGAGCATATGCACTCTGAGTAACCTTCTTTAGATCATCTTGGGCCCCGGTTGTAATTTTTCCAAAGAAGATTTGCTCTGATACACGTCCTCCCAGAGTCATGCACATTCTGTCAAGCAGCTGCTCTTTGGTGTACAGATATTGTTCTTTTGGCAAGTACTGTGCATAACCCAAACCTTTGCCACGAGGAATAATAGATACCTGTACCAGAAGTGAAATTAAGATACTTAACCTAAATATTCTATGTATGATCACAGCATAATGCACTACGTATGATCACAATGTGGATTATTTCTGCAAGGACATGTACAAATAAGAAACAGCTACCAGTAGCCACAAACTGGGGAATAAGTAGGTCAAGCTATATCCTAAGTACTGGAATATACGTAGGTGACACAAGACATGGTCTGAAATTAATTTGATACTGTGGCTTGTTCCCTGCTTCCATAACAGATTATATGAAATAGGAAATTATGGTTAGTGGCATCCAGGTTTGAAGAGTTGCACCATGAAGGGAAAAGCAATGGGGCTACATGCATGGGCAAAAAGTCACCTGATTACACCCACGCTACAGCAAGACAACATACCTTTAGAAGCGGATCGGCATGTTCGAGAAACCACCCAGCAACTGCATGTCCAGCTTCATGATATGCTACTGTCTTTTTCTCCTCTGGTTGCAATACTTGTGTCTTTTTTTCCAACCCTTTGATTAATAAACAAACAACTTGAATACTTCAGTGCATATCTTTCCATTCTGGTGTTAATGAGCAGCCTATGATGTGGCTTTCAAATTTTTAAGTGTTTTCTTCCCACATCCCATGCATAAAAGACTACCACAAGTAATGAGAAAAAAATTACAAGGATTGAAGCTTCCCTCTTTAACTTAGTAAACTAAAGCAGATTATTATACAGTAAAAAAGTTAAAAATTATCTGGAAAATAAGCAATCTTAAGTATGAAAGAATGAATTGCAACATGACTGGAAATATAATAACATAATGGAGCTTCTCACCTCCAATCACTCGTTCAATTGCTTGCTCAAAGTGTTTTTGGTTTATGGCATCTGAAAGATGTCTTGCAGCAATTAAGGCCGCTTCATTGCATACATTAGCTATATCTGCACCTAAAAAGGAGGTGGATAAAAAACTGTCACTAATTTCAAGAGGATGACCACTTATTTCAAGTTAAAAGGTAAATTGCCTGCAAAACAAATTCTTACCACTAGCTGATCAAACTTTGATGCCTACCTGGCTCCAAAATTAATTTAGTCATAGGAATATGCTATCATCTTTTAGACTAGAATGCTCAGAGTGATACTGAGATACAAAATGAAATCAAGGACCCTCAAACAGAGGCAGCACTATAATAATGGGTGACTTCAATTACTCTCACACTGATTGGATAAATGTCAGTTCCAATTCTGACAAAGAGGTTAAAATTCTTGATGTGCTAAATGACTGTGCCCTAGAACAATGAACATGGAATCAACCAGAAGGGAGGCAATCATGGATTTAATCCTCAGTGGGAGTGGCCAGGTCATAATAGGGGATGTAAATGTTGTTGAACCAATAGGAAACAGTGACCAAAGTGTTTTCAGATTAAACATACAGTTAGGGAGAAGATTACTTTAAGAAGTCTAATGCAATCACATTTGAATTTGAAAGAGGAAACTTATTAAAATGAGGGAACTGGTAAAAAAGAGGTTGAAGTGGGGACTCAAGAGGATTAAATCCCTTCAAAATGCTTGGAGACCACTCAAAGCCACAATAGAGGCACAGTTAGTAAGCAGACCACAAGTTAGGAAAAGTAGCATGAAGCCCAAGAAGTTACCAGCATAGTTAACAAGTAGAGTCAAAAAAACTATTAGAGAAGAACTTCCTTGAAGAAATCAGAAAAACAAAAGAAGCACCTACTTGCATAAGGGAGATGCAAGCAGACAGTGAGAGAAGCAAAGAAACGTTTTAAGGAGCACATCGCTAACCACTTGAGGCCAACAATACAAAATTCTTTAAAAATACCATAAGAAAATAAACAGAGATGATAATGGATGATAATGAAATCAAAGGAGCACTAAAGAAGGATAAGAAGATTGCAGAGAAGCTGAATGAATTATTTTTTAGCCTGTCATCACAGCAGAGGATACAGAACAACCTGAACTGATGTATTTAGAAAGGGGTGTTTCAGGAATTGCGGAGATATTCATGACAAAAGATTACATTCTCAACCTTATTGATAAACTGAAAGTTCATAAATCACTGGGCACAAATCATACCCATTCTAGAGTTCTTAACTCAAATATAAAATTGTTGATCTTCTTACCAAAAAATGTAGTATGTTCCCAAGATCAGCCTCCATAGCAGAGGACTGGAGAATGACCAGTGTAAAACCATTTTTAAATTTTTGTTTTAGAAAACTGATCCTCAGGTAGATCTGGGAAACTACAGACTAGTTTCATTAATGCTTGTTCTGGGTAAATTGCTTGAAAGGGTTATTAAAGACAGAATCAGTAAACACATAGAATTAATGTGGTTTCCACAAAGGAAAGTCCTGTCTCACTAACCTATTAGAGTTCTTTGGAGTGTTAGTAAACAAGCACACAGTTTACTTGAACTTCTAAAAGTACTTTGACAAAGTCCCTCACCAAGGATTCTGAGCAGCCATGGAATAAAAGTATGGTGGGGGTCCTCTTATGGATCAGTAACTGGTTAAAGAACAGAATGTATAGAGTGGAATGAACAGTAATTTTCTCCCAATGGAGGGATGCAAACATTGGGGTACCTTAGGATTTTATATTTGGACAAATGCTTTTCAACCCTGTTCATAAATGATCTGGAATTAGGAGTTAGCAGTGAAGTTGCCAAGTTTGTGGATGAAATCCAACTGCTGAAAGTAGATCCCAGCTGAGTAGCAGCCTCATGCCAGGAGAATACAACAATTTTCCCTAAGCCTTAAAGAACACCAGTGCACTTTTTTCCTGCTTGGGAAAAATACGTATATGGTTCTATCACATAAGCATGTCATTACCCTTGATCTGGAAGACTAAGAAGAAGAGCTGAAAAGCGTCAGATGGACTGATATGCAATCATAGTTTCCTTTTCCACATTTGAAGGGTGAAAAGAAAATGCTTCAACAGTGTCCACTATTCTTCCTAACCTTGGGGCACCATAGTGCTACCTTAACCGACCCAAAAAGATTGTAGCATCACTTTTGTAACAATGATGAAAGGGACAGAATAAACAAGAAGGTGTGCAGACGGGCATTAGACTTATTTTTGCAAAGTTGTTATCAAATGCAACCAAAAAACATCCATAAAGGTGGACAAGGAATAGGGTAACAGCAAGACTTGAGTGAGTTCTATATTGCTATTGGCTACAGTCAGGTGGGTACTCAATACTGCCCAGTCAAGCTGGGCTTAAGCATGGAAGTTTAATGTGGATTTGTTCAGGAGCCAGTACAGACATTTGCTGAGAGGGCTGGAGTAAATTCAATTCCTTTGTACCTAACTTCATAAAAATATTTTCTTCTTTTAAGACTCTAAACAGTAAAGCTTAAAGACAACAGTATCACCATCCTCTCATCACTGAATAGCATTTCTTATAACCTGTACCTGTTACACCTACCTGAAAATCCAGGAGTAAGTGATGCAAGTTTTCGTGCTAAATTGTCCTTAATCAGACTAGTATCCAACTTCAGGGGTCTAAGGTGAACTTTGAAAATAGATGCTCTTCCTTTTATATCAGGTGGTCCTTGAAGCATTTAATGAGAAAGCAAAATACGTTTCAAACATTTATGCTTTTTATTAGTCCGAGTGACTGCAGTTTGAGACAAGATTTTACCTAGGCTCTTTCCCACACACTAGCTTCCCATGAAGGAATAGATTTTAGTGTGAGAAACCTTTCAAACAAGCAATCTGCTTAGCCATTTTTAAGGTGTTAAAGGCACCTGATGGTTCTATCCTATTTCTTCTGATAGCTCTCATACTCTGAGGTCAGTGTTTATGAGTGAAAATTGTCTACCAGGATGGGCAGCAGCTTACCAATAAATATCTGTCTATCAAAACGTCCTGGCCTCAAAAGTGCAGGGTCTAAGATATCTGGTCTGTTGGTGCCTGCCAGAATAACTACATTTGTTGTTGTATTAAAACCTGTAAAAAGAATAAAAAATAAATAAAATGAATGTATTCAATATTACTCTTTGTATTAGCAAATGTATTATTTTCCAAAAAGCCCCAGTAAATTTTATGCATATTAGTTCAGAAGTATTCTACTGATCAGAGAAATGGCTATTCTTTCTTCTATGCAGTAGTTACAGTGTATCAAAATACTCTCCAACTTAGTTTGGTTTGTCTCAGGTAGGCATTAGATATATCTGTGCAAACTGCAGTAATTTCACTAACTAAAGAGAAACAGTCCATGTTAAAGGAGGAGAAATAGGAGCATAACTATTACAATCTAATCTATGTAATGAAGACACTTACAATACAGTATAGTACCAAATATGTTTAAATTCCTGAATGAGCATTACCACTGCCTACAACGGCGTAATCACATTGTGGTATGCTACATATTTTGGCCTACTACTCCCATCAGCCCTGGTAAGCACAGACAATGTTGAAGTAAGATGCAAAATATGATACAGGTCAGACAACTGGAAGGCCACACATTACAAGTCCTAGCTTACAAAATATTTTTATGATAGAAATTGCTCTCTGAAATTGGGAAAGAGTCAGAGAGACTTACTTGCTCAAATCTGTGGCAAGGAAGAATTTTGACTTAGAATGTACCGTCACTTTATGTTAGGGTTAAGCATGGCATAATGTGTTAATACATTAGATTGAAAGTTGTGTAGTACTATTAAAAAACTTCAGATAGCCATTTTCAAAATGTGTTTTGAAGGTCGGGGAATTCTTGTAAGCAGATTTTGGAGTGCATGAGAAAGCAGAGGAGAAGGGATGTGAGGAAAGTCCTATTGTGTAAGCAAAAGTCTACTTACACAACACTGGATTTTGCCCCAGAAAAATTAATTTACTATTTTTCTACCTTAAACCTTCTGATTATCAATAAATATCACCTAAATGTCCATTCATATGCATTTAACTAATGCTAGCTTCATTCTAGTATACTTTAGAAATAAAGATACAACACACACACACATAGACACCAATATGGCAGAAAGCTGGTTTAACTATGATTGTTCACTATCATGAAACATTATCAAAAAGGTAGTAAAATTATCTTTTTCTTCTTACTAATGCAAACAGTAGGTATTTTGATCTTTAAATTCACTTTGAAATTCAGACACTAGTAACCAAATTATTCAAGTAGCTAAAAAGAAAGGAAACATAGATACCTGAACATTATTTAAGATGTTTATTTCAAATGTATGGAAAATTAAGCAAATTAAGGGTAAAGAGTTTAAAAATAAAAAAGGAAGTATTCTGGACTAAGAATTGGTTTTGTTAAACTAAAGTCAAATTTACATGACTGATTAAATAGTTCTGACAGCACTAACTAGCATCTGCTACTACACATAATTTAATTATCACTTAATCTGTTGTATTTCTCCATTATAACCTTTGGTTGTCCCTTCCAGATTTATTTATTTATTTTATTCTATTTAGGGAACTTCTATGCCGCCCCATTCGCCGAAGCCTCGGGGCGGCTCACAGATAACTTGCTTGGTACCAATACAAGCCATTCTAGAGGGCATATTTAAGACTGAAGTGTCACTCTGATAAATAACTAGCAGGATGCCCCAAAAGATTTAAGAAACTATATAGTTACCATCCATTTCTACTAGTAGTTGATTGAGTGTGTTTTCTTGTTCACTTTGCCCTCCAAAATTACCCCGTCCTCTCTTCCTTCCCACTGCATCTATTTCATCAATGAAGAGAATGCAAGGGGCATTTTTACGAGCCAGAACAAATAAATCCCGAACCTTTGCAAGGGAACAGAAAGCATTTTCAATCATGTAGAGATAAACTGAATATATTACATCATATTTACAACATTTTTAAAATAATTCATTTGTCAGTAACTTGAGACAAATGTCCTATGCTAGAACAATCCACAAATGCACAATAATTAGACCTAGACTGTGAATTGTGAATGTCTTAGTTCAAGTTCTTTTACTGCTGCAGAACAAGGACCACATTAAATAGAACATGCCCCACACACCACTTCAGAAAAGAACCATGCACAACATCACAACATTCATATACATTGCCATCAGTGATTATTATATATGTCTATTTTGTTTTATGTACACTTAGTGGGAAGCTGCAATTGTATTCATATGCTATGCCATGCATTAAAGCAGGGATGTTTTTCACAGAAGGGGTATCTATCCAAAACTTATGTTTAAAATGGCCTTAGGCAAGCTAATGTAGCTCAACATCTGGCAGTCCATTCACGGACAGTGAATTAATACTACACAGGATAACGTGAAGACAAGAGTGTTGCTAATTAGCAAAGCATTAGAGTAAAAGCAGTCAAGTTACAGCGTCACTATGCTAGAAACACTGGAGCCATTGGTATTTCCTTTCATGAAGGTAACACATGTTTTAATTAGTTTGTCTTTGACTGGATCACACCATTAAAGTAGGTTGTGGTGTGTGTGGGTAGCCATTTTGGCTATCCATGGTGTGTTTACCATGGTTTGCCATGTCTTCTGAACCTGGACAAAGGCTGTTTGAAAATCAGTTCTTAAACAACCCATGTTGCCTGGGTTTGCATGACAGCACAAGTCTCAGAAACAGCTGCAACACAGAAATAATGCCCGCAGTGCCAAAGCCTCATAAGCAAATTAAACCATGGTGGGCAATAGAGGTTACTCTGTAAAAGAAATTATTTAATGTGATTGCACACTGCACAGGGAACTCTTTATAGGACACCTTCTTAGAAATACTGCTCTTCCCTAAAGCATGTTTAACCCAGTATTAGCTTTTTCAAAGTGCAGTGCTCTTAGAACATTAGTTGTTGCTGTTTCGGCCCTCAAGTCTTTTTCTTGTAAATATGCAAACAAGAAATAGATCTACTGGCCCTCCTGGTATATACAGGTATAGAATAACAGGCACAAAATATTCTTCAGTGCCCTTGCCATGATCAAATACCAAAAAAGCAAATAATTGTGACCCAGAATAGTGACAGAGAATGATACTCGTAGCTCTGAAACAATAACCATCCCTAGCAACAGAATGAGGTATAGGGGGAGTTTTAATCTGAATAATGACTGAAGCTTAGTGCATGATCAAGTTTTGGCCTACCAACCTTGACAGTGTCCTTTTAACAACCGACAGGGCAATAACGGAGCACAGTATAGACTTACTCTAGCGGGACCCACGCCGACAAACATCTCTAAGAATTCAGACCCGTTGACTGTAATGAAAGGGACATTGGCTTCTCCCGCTGTAGCCTTAGCTAGAAGAGTTTTCCCTGTGCCTGGAGGTCCTGTCAGAATGGCTCCCTGAAAGGAGTGAGGCAGGACAAGAAAGCTTAATTGTGAAACTGCAACTATATATACTCAAGATCATGATGTATTTTCTTGATAAGACTAAGTATTCATTTTAGGGATATGAATTAAGTATTTTGGAGCTGTGTTTTAGCAAAGCATAAAAACGGGCAACACTCCCATTACAAAATATAAGAATTTTCAGGAAATAATCTGAAATAATCTAATTCTACATGGCATCATTTAAATGCTATACACACACATTTTGAATGAGATTGCAAGGTAAAGTAAGTATAACTTTGGAATATTTTGTGATAAATTTATAAAGCACACATACATTTTATCCACTATTCATGATGTTTCATGTGGAAGATACTGTAATACGGAGCTGGCAACTTTTTCCATACCCAAGGGACATGGAAATATAGGTGGTGGGCTGGGGACAGCATACCCCTCCACCCCCGAAATGAGATTTAAGCCTCATTTCGTTGCCTGCTGAGATCAGGGGATGGGGCTGCTGTTTCCTTGTTATTTTTAGCAGTAAAGGAATAGCAATCAGCATAAGGATCACTGGGAGGAATGTTCATCTTCCTGAGATAATAAGCTTCTATTCTTGAAATGTCTTACCTTTGGGATCTTTGCCCCAAGATCCTGATACTGTTTGGGGTTTTTCAGAAAGTTAACAAACTCCATTATTTCTAGTTTAGCTTCCTCACAGCCAGCTACGTCTTTGAACTTCACATCTATTTCATCTTTTAGGACTTTGGCTGTTGTTTCACCCACACTGAAGAGTCCACCCATTCCCCGTCCCGTTCGGCCCAATCCAGGAGGTCCTCTTCTTATAACGTACATCAAAGAGCCAATTACGAGGAGTGTTGGCAGCAAACTCAGAAGCAATGAACTAAAAACAGAGGCAAAAGCTGGAAGTTAGTGGGAGGAAAGCGACATTTAAATAACAATTGTAATTGCATTTTAGGAGTAACTGCCCTTAGTGAAGCAAACTATACTGTCCTGTTAACAACAGCAACCTGTTCATAAAACCCCTCTGATTTGTAATACAATGTGTGCAAATGTTAATTTAACTTGTGTTAAGGATTAATTTTCAAGATCTGGCTTTAAGAAATCACCATCATGTTCAGATATTATGTGAATAAGAGTGAGCAGGTAGCCAAGAATAAGTGGGAGTGAACACACATGCTGTCCCCGGAGTGTTCTCTGGTTGTTTAGCATGATGTCCTAATATGGAAATCTGGACTATTTGGAAAGGGACAACACAAAGTTATACTTCATGGTTTGTTCTTGGGTTTTAACTCTGGGTTGTCTCTTCCTCCAATAACCCAGACTTCTCTATTTGGACATTACACTGAAGCACCCAAGGACTGGCTGTCCCTAGAATACTTAACTCTGCCTGGGTGCAGCAGGAGCAATTCAGCAACAAGAAACAACACACTTGCTTGTTTCCACTTCTTTCAAATAGCTGTTTAAAAATAGCTATCACACTGAGCTCTTTAGACAACACATATTTGTTACCATAGCACTGAAAATACCTTTTCCTATAAAATTTAATGCTTTTAAGATTAAATGTCTACAAATCTCCTTGTACAAGGTAGGCATTCCTAAAGGACAGTCAGCGGCACACAATCCCTCTCACACCGTGCTTTGGCAAAATAAACATACATTCTTCCCATTTTGTCCTGCTTGTTGGGAGCTGGTTTTCCCCTTATTAATGTCAAGCTTCCCAAAACAACACAGAGTCCCTTTGCAAAATACCTTTCAATTGACAATTCATAACTAGCAAGCTACAGTCACTACAAGACTAGGCTCTAAGCATAAACAGAGTGATTTGTTGAACCCAAACTAGAACCCTCCTTTTCAGTAACGCTGGGCTCCATCTCTCTAGGTGGGTCCTCCGGAGAAGGCTAATTTCTTAAATCTATGCAGGCCCTCTAACTGTGTAGCTCTCCTGCCCTGATGCCATGTCATGGGGTCAGGGACCAGACAAGACAAGGGCTCATCTTTCTCCTCTCCTTTGTCCCCTTCCTTCAGTTCCAAACCCTGCCTGTTTCCATGCTCTGTCTGATCAAGTTAGGAGGCTCTATAGAAGGGCCAGGGGACCTCTTTGAGCCCACGGGTGGAATTCAATGTGAGTGAGACTTGGGGGATATCCCAGTAGTAGGTAGAGCTACAGGCAAAGTGGGCAGGCAAAGACAAAATCACCAAAGCAAACACCAGTTTTCGCTAAGGCCTTTACTGCTGATAATTAAGTCGTAGGCATTTCAAGCTTTTAGAATGGGGGAAACCCAAACACTGGGAAACCAAGTGAATAGTGGTTGGGAAAGGGGATCATGGCATGGAATTTGCTCCCCAGATTGGTTTGCTTGGCACCAATATGTTATTCTTTTCGGCGTCAGGTGAAAACCTTTTTATTTTCCCATAATTTTAATGTTTAGTTGGTTTTAACTGGGTTTTTTTATCTTGACTTGATGGATGCTCTGTTTGTTTTGTTACTCTATTTGTTCCTTATTGTAAGCTGCCCTGAGATGTCAGTGGTGGATGGGGTACAAAAGTTTTAAATAAATAAAAATAAATTCTGAGGAACATGGAGGGCCAGATTTGGCTACTGAGCTTGATGTTTCTCACTACTGCACAAAAGCAACATTGCCTAAACTAAAGGTGACAATCTATGACTGATTTCATTACACTATGTGTAATTGAAAATGCTTACCCATCAGTCTCTGTTGAATACACTACAGGTATCCTGTTCTCCCCTTCTATTCCCAGTTCAAGTTGTGCTGTTTCCAAGTTCCGTTCAAAGGTGTCCACACTCCCAATATTAAACCAGACATATTTCTGTAAAAGCAAAACCTCACTTCAGAGTTTTAAATTGATCTCAGGCAGACATATAAAAAATTCCAGAGGAACAGGAGGTTACATCAAGCACTAACTCAGGTGCAATACACACATATGGTTGTTTATTTATTTAAAACATTTCTATGCCGCCCCATCGCAACAAAGCCTTGGGCCGGCTCACAACACATAAATAAATACAGACGTAATAAAATAAAGAAGTACTAAATCATACAATAAATAACACCCCCCAGTGCATTCTCGGCTAAAAAAAAAAAAAAACCTAGTTAACAAATAATTAACAGTTAAAGTAAGTTTTAAATAAAAAGGTCTTAGCCTGGCGCAGAAAAACAAATAACGACAGCACCGGCGGACCTCTCTGGGGAGCGCATTCCATAGATGGGGCGCCACCACAGAGAAAGCTGTGGTTAGGAGCCACAGCTTTAACAGGTGGGTTTAATTATATTGTTTCTACTTACTACTGAAAAGAACTCCAACGATTGCAATAGGCATTTTCATGAATGCTAGAATGGCCAAATGCATCACTGTTAAAGGATTTCTGTTAACTAGAAAATTCTTTGGCCTGGTGCCCTCTAGAAGAGGCCTCCAACTGCCATAATTCCTAGCCATCATAGCCAACGTTCTTGGTGGCTAAGAATTATGGGAGCTGTGGTCTAGCACATCTGGAATTGTGGTTATCATTAACTATGGTTAGTTTCAACAAGCCATAGTTTGAAGTTGGCTTGCTTGAACTTACCACAGCTTATATAAGCTACAATTTGCCATGCCAGGCAATAGGACAACCCATCATCAATAACTGTTGCATTCTTAATCCTGACTATAAAGGATGCATAGAGGGTGAAGTATGCAAACCTGAGTCTTGTTGCAGTTTATGCCCATTCATGCACCCTACGCTAAACTACGGTTTAGCACAATATGCAAATACAGCAATTGTGTTACATTAAGTGCTGTTTTTGAAGTGCCACATTTTTTGCAGGGGACCTGCCAAGCAGCTTCAGAGGAGACATTTGGAAAGGAGGTCTAAGGTGGCTGAGCATTTCGATTTCATCATGGAGGTCTCTACATTAGGCTCAGTATGTCTAAACATCATTTGGTTGAGAAACTAAGGTTTATGGTTCTAGGGCAAGCATCAAATGAGACAGAAAGTCACATTTCAGCTCCTGGAAAAACAACTTCTGTTCATTTCCAGACACCTATTGTGTAAGTTCAGACTGCCTTGGGGCAATCTTATTATTATTTAAAAAAATCACATATAAGTATGTCTTAAATGAGCACAGACTAATGAGCACAGATTAATTTATATTGTTAATTTATATTGTTTTATTGAATTATATTTATTTATGGTTTGTGAGCCGCCCTGAGGCTTCGGTGAATGGGGCAGCATAGAAGTCGCCTAAACAAACAAACAAATAAATAAATAAATGCATGTGGAGATTCCTACAATCTTCTTTGGGTGACCTCCTTCTGCAGAACCCCATTCAACAACCATTGTTATTATTTGCAAGGAGACAGACCCCAGCCACAGTGAATCATCTAATGTATGAGTCTAATGTTAATTTAACTTAAATGAATGTTCACAACCAAAAAAGTTTTAACCCCTTAATGTATTTAGCCAAATGAAAAATGCTATTTACCGCATCAATAGGAGACATTCCTGGGGTACAGACCACTCGAACAAAGCGTTTGTTCACCACTTCTAGCCTGTCCACCTACGTAAACACAAACGCAAGGATAAATCATTCTCATTATTGTTTGCTCACATTTCTGGTGGGTAATTTGAAGTGCAAAAATGGTGTCAAGGAGCTGAACCTTTCCCCAGTGGGATGATGCTTTTTCTCTTGCAGTTCACCCCTTAAGGTCATTCCTCCCCTTACCCTCCTGCCATACACGCTGTGAATTTCCAATATGAAAAGAAAAATGTCAGCTAGGAGAAAAACAGCATGAAATAGGGGAAATGGTCTTCATGAATGAAGTGAGTGTCCAGCATTCTCTGCCTTTTGAGCTTTAAATAAAATCACAGCTCTCATGTTTTATGTACCCAACTGGGGATGAAGGAAGTTTAAAGACATGGATCGATGAATATCACAAGTAACCAGGCCATATTTCCCAGCTGTCTTTTATCAAAATTATTTATTTTTCAGTGTGCATGCAACAGGCCCTTTTCTGAACTTAGGTTCTGCTATGTAACTAAGTGCACAGAGGGCTCTGACTTATGCACACAATCCCACCCAAACAATACTGGTATAAGAGAATCTTGGGTACCAATCTGGTCCTGTTGGGAGGATCAGGCTGCTTATCCCTGATAAAAATCTGAAACTGCCTTGATCCCTTATTTTCATGTCTAATATAATTATCATTTTCTCTATCTGTGAAGTGCAAGACTGACTGTCAATGTTAATGCAGCCAAAACAGTTCCATGCATACATACGGAATCTCTGAGGTTTGCAGAAGAACACATACCCCCTTTTTAAAAAAGGAGCACAAATGGGTCTCAACTCCCTGAAAATAGTCAAAAACAGGCTGTGCACATTCTCACACAGAAAACTGGGGGGGGGGGGGTGGCGGGGGATAATGAACAAAGACCTAGCAAGGCCATTACTCATTCTGTACCTCGAAGGGTCCCCAGCTGTTCCTTTCATGTACATGGCTACTTATGGAAAGCTCTAACGTGGCACCACAATGACAAGAAATAATAAATGAAGCCCTCCACCATTCTTTAGATTTCCTGCACTGCTTGCCCCAGACCTGCCTGCACCTGCTCCTTGCTGCTTATCCCTTCACCTCACTGTCGCAGGGAAAGGGTATCTGGCTGGGGACTTGATGGGCTGACTGCCTGCCTGTAGACCCAGGCCTCTCTCAGCACTCAGATGTCACTCAGTTAATTCAACCATGAACTGTGTGGACGCATGCTCATGTGAGCCACTTCCAATTTTCTACAACAAACCATGATTGCCACACTTGTAGGTTCTTACCATGAAAGCCAAAGCCAGATATTTGAGTTTACTTGAAGATTAAATAGCCCTTTTAACCAATAACAAACTATCATTAACTTGAGACTGTTTAACTCACTGATAACCCAGGTTCTGATGATACAATAACAACTTAGGGAAGCTGCATTTGCAGGTTGCTTCAGGAAACTATTTATGCACAACACATATTCCTGCAAAGCAGGAGTTATTTAACCAATGCTGCCATTGTGCCCAAAACCTTGTTTTTTTTTTTAGTGGAAAGACAAGATAGAAATGCTTTAAGTAAATAGTAATAAGCCCTTAAAGAAGCTGTGGAAATCAAAACACCTTGGACCATCTTCTAATAGGGCCAGCATCTAGTTTGACCCCCGCCACAAAGGATTAGAGCAGTACTCTGTTTTCTGGAATACGTATTATAACCACAAGCTATAATGTCCTTCTTCCTTTAATTTAAATTCAGATCAGTGGAAATCTAGACCCAGATTTTCTATCTTCCAGTAGTTCAGTATTGTGCCTGTTTCTGCTCAGCCACAATGATGCTAAAGTTATTTAGTGAAGTTACTGTTCACCTGAAGGTTCCCACAGTGCTACTTACCACTCCTTTGGAAAGGTAGCTGTTGACAAAATCTTTCCATGTTATTTCTTTCTCAAAATTCTTCAAGAAAACGTAATATATAACAGCACTCCAGAAAATACTATTTGCTATTAAAGGAACACGGAATTCTTGGTTGTCCCAAGGAAACTCACCCTAAAACGTGAAGACAAAGGTAGAGACAAATGTTTCAAATGTGAAGATTGTGAATTTTCTATTTTACACCCACAACAGAAGGGACATACTGGAAACCTCTCCTACTGACTTCTACAGAGACAACTGATCACATGTGAAAAGAGATCTACTTGCTGAGTTGCATTCACTATTGAAGTGAATGAAAATTGCTGGACAACATATAGGATGCAGGGTAAGTGCCACAATGACCTCATCACACTAGCGAAGAATTTATGTATTTTTGCAGGATAATTTAAGGTTTGTACTTCAGGAAAATGTACTGAAAAAGCATTTAAGTAAACAGCATTCCCGGTATGTAAAGAATCTATCATTTGTTGAAATTAGAAAGGTCCTTTAATTAGTGAATTACAGAATCACAGGTTAGGTCCAATCCTGGCCATCTGCCACTGGAATGGTAACCACTGACAGTCCTCTGTATTTGTCCCAAATATGTTTTGGAAGGTTGGGGGACCCACAGGGCAGTGACGGATGAATGCATATGTGTGCACAGACAATAATAAAACTTCCATTAAACATCGGAAGTTCCATTCAACATTGGTTTTAATCCCACGATTCAGGCTAAAGAAAGCCAACAGCCAGTGACCTCCAAAAAGCTAAACAGAGACCTTTTGTAATCTGGACCACCACTTAGCATCTTCTTTCTTGCCTCCCTTTTTCCCTCCTCCACCACCACTACTTCCTCCACCGCCAGTCCTGGAAGACTGCTGGGAATTTTCTTGCTTCATTTCTACAAACACAAAACAAAACAAAAAACTTTATGTAGTTTTGGTTTTTGTTTTTACAAAAAATCACAATAGTTTAGAGGAGGTAAGATCATCATTCTAAAGTCCTTCATTTTGTTGGTTCTATATGAGTTATGGCTAAACAAAACAAATCCTTAAGGGTGCAATCCTTGTTTGTAAGCCGTCCAGAGACGCATAGTGATCGGACGGGTTAGAAATATCTCAAATAAATAAAAATAAATAAAATCCAGTCAGGATGCCCATGAGTCTCTAAACTTGTAGCCTGATGGACATGCTATGCAGAGCAGAAGGCAGCAGAAACCCCTCTCCCCCAACCCACTGGAACACCTTTATTTCATCTATGAGGCTGAATTCCTAACCTCAGAGAAGCAGCTGGCAGCATTCTTTTTGTACTGCCTGTAAGAAAGGGTTGGAGCAGACTCCCAGCTGAGCCTGGAGCTCTGTTTGTGACCTTGAACCTGGGAATCCAGAGTATCTCATCCCCACCCCTCACCAAGATGATGTCTGGGGACCACAGGATTGTTCCCAAAGAGTTAGATTAGATGTTATGGCAAACACATGGCTGCCTACAATACAGCCATTGTCCAGCTAATCCCACTCCCATAACATCTAGTAAAATGTCCTACACATCATTATATTGAAATGCTCTGTGTATCCCAGCATTACTGGATGCTGACAGCACAGTGCAGGCAAATCCAAAATGGTGCAACAGAAACCCTACAAGAAACCAGGGGAAGGGGTAGCAGCAGTTATTTTTTCAATGCAAGTCACAGGATTGCTATGATTTGTTGTTTAGCTTATGAAAATGTAAATGAATACCTTGGAGCATCTAGGAAACATGCTAGTAAAATAATTTATTAAAACCTATGTTTTACCATGTAAGTCATAAATTGGGGAACCTTACTGTTGTCTAACAATTCAAAACACAGTGAGAAAAACTAAGGATGATATTCTGATGTGAACTGGTTATGTCGGGATGTTTCAAGAAAAAAACATTCTGGACATCAGATACTGATTTATGCATAGACTACACTTCTCAGTTGAAAGATGTTCCATGCTGCATTTCAACTCATTTCTAGCCTTAATCGTCTTTATCTAGCTCTACATAGTTATTAAGATATGAACAACCGTGTAGTTGTCCAGGGAAAAAGACAGTTGTGGCTTCCCACAAGTTCATCCAGTTTATGTCATTCCACGTCACCTGCCCTCTTCTTTCCAATACTATTATTATTTGATTCATTATATTTACATCCTGCTTTTTCCCCTTCCAAGGAACTCAAGGAGGCTTACATTTTTTTTCTCCCTCTCCTTTTAACCCACAACAACAGCCCTGTGAGGCAGGTTGGGCTGAGAGTCTGACTGGCTCAAAGTCATCCAGGGAGCTACCTGGTTGAGTGGGGACTACAGCCTGGATCTCCTGAGTCTCAGTCACACACACTTAACTGCTACACCACCACTCTAATACTGAGATACAGAACAGTCAGTTCTTTGCTTACAGTCATACTTCAGCACCCAGAAATATAAGAATAATTACTGGAAACCTATACAGGGTTAGTCAATATAGAGCTTTCCCTAAAGTGCCCACATAGCAACCATTGGACAAAGCTGAATATGCTGGTCAGACCCAAAACACAGAAAGCAGACACCTAAAATGCAGTAACAGCACAAGAAGATAAAAGGAAATCACTGTAAAAAGAATAATTACTTTTTTCATTATCACCTCCTGTGGTCCAAGTACTCCACTGAGAATACAGCAAGAACAGTAACCAAAGCTTTGTGCTCATGAATAGTCAAGAAACATAAATGCCAAATTATTATTTATGCTACATACAGACTCCAAATGAAAGCACTTCTTTTTACCTTTGGGTTTTCCCTCCAGACCTTTTGATTCGTTAGGTTTCTTCCCATCCGGAAAATATTTTTCAAATCCTGTTAAAAGAAAGCAGTGGCAGCACAAAGTTATCTATACTGTCTTGTACCTGGGGGAGTAAAGTCTTGCCATAAATAGCCCTGCATCAGGGAGGGAGAAATGGGTATGTTGATACATCTATATATCAGAACACCTGAGCATGGTCAAAATTAAACAGTTTAGCTTTAAGAGTTTAGGCTTCCATAAAAATAATTTTTTAGATTGTCTCATCTTGGTGAACCTGAAGTATGCCTAACCCTTCCTCAGAACTGTTTTTACTTCTGGAAGAATTTTGTAGCTGAAACTAGGGGAAACAGAAGGGGAAAAGGACCTGCATTCTCAGAATTCAGACTTGGTACTGAAAACAGATTCCTCAGTTGAACCACAAATGTAGCCTGTAGCAGAGGCAAAGAAAAGAGAATGTTCCTATTTGAAAAGAACATAGGAGAAGCTACTGAAAGGGAATAGGGAACTTGGGAGTAGATTTTGATGGCAGATTGTTCTCTGATCACACATTATGCTGAAAAGAGAGTGGAGTAGTGGTGCTTAATTTCCAAACAGTGAAGTGTTGGGTCTCAGGTTTGTGTGAAAGCCATGCCATTATAAGCCTTGATCTTTAATTCTGAGAGGGTGCAACAGTCCAGTTAAGCTGTTATTGTTCTTTCACAAGGCTAATCCAACTCTGCACATGAAGAGAAACACTTTCCTTCAAAAATGAGTGGACACAGTCTTGGTTCTGAAAAACTTCAAGGCTAATCTCTGGTGAATCTTGGTACAAATAAAGACGCAGGCAGAGCAACTGTTGTCTGTGCCTTCATATAATTTTTCAAATGAAGAGCTCTTCCTCATTCCATGAGAAAAAATAACTTAGGTGGAAGGTGAAGTCTGAGAAAGGAAGAGGGAGGAGCAATAATTGACTGACCCATGACAAAGCAGGGGGCATATTTCAAAGAGCCCAGTGATGAGAGTGGTTTTGTAGTGTTTGCATCAAAGAAGTTGTATGGACAGAGCAGGGAAATATTTAGACAGTGGAAGTAAGGCAAGCAAGCAGAAGCCTGGAAAAGATGATGGTTGAAAATTACATAATGTCAGCATAAACAACTGCAGATCACTAATTTTGAGTATATATTGTAAGTTACACACCTTCAGAAGTTTAAAACTACTAAGAACAATTAGAGTGCAGAGCTATACACATTTAGACAGGAAAAATGTGAGGCAATGCTGGACGTAACAGGCCTTTTTTCTGTCATTTTGTACCGTCAGGGTGCAGTTCTGTGCTGACAGGGAGCTGACATGGGAGTTGTCTAAACTTGCCTAGGGCTGCACTTCTAGTCTCTTCCTGTTACAGTTTTGCCCACCTTCATCAGCCTCCTCCTTCACTGGTCAGAATCAGCAACCATCCTGCAGGCTGTCGTGATGGAGGTGCGATGAGAGGCCAGGGGCATTACACCAAGTCTGTTGGAAGCTCCCTTGAATATTTCCCCTTCCCTCCCCATCCCCTTTTCTCTGTGTTGTGTTTGTGCCCTACAGACCATCATTTTCAATTCTCTCTCTCTTGCTACCCAGACTTAACACTAAAATTTATCATCATCAGGAACTGTAACACCACAAGAAGAAGGGACAATAGCATGTAAGATGCATTATATCATTACTATATAGCAACAATTACCTTTGGGAGGCTGGGAGAAGAGCCTTCTGTAAGCAGCAATTACATTTACAAAGAATTTGTTTTGGTTCGCAGAACTTTGGGTGGCCACTTGGTCATGAAACTGAAAAATTAAGAATGGTTAGTTGATGACACATTTCTAGTATGTTTTAGTGCTATCTATGGAAGCTTAGTTGGAAACAATTTCTGCTGATTTCAATGGCTCTTACTTCCTAATAGGCATGCAAAGACTTGCTGCCTTAAAATGCAATCCTACATATACTTAATGAGAAGTAAGTATCACTGAAGGCCTGTTCCTACCAATTGAGAGAGAGCAAGCATATGTTGAAAGTGACCATCTGCCCACTTTCAACACTAATACCCCCATACATCTTCTGACATCTTCTGAACATTTTTGAGTATTCAAAAAAAACAACAACCCCTCAACCCCGTCGTAATCGATGGCTTTAATTTTTTTCTAGCAACAACATAAAGTACAAAGTACATCTGAGATCTCTGAGATTAATGCAGGTTTGTATTTAACAATTTTTCCAGGAGCGACAGGTGGCTAGGAATTCTATGCAGGAGAGCAAATAGCACAGAAGAGATAAAGCATTCCATCGTCTGCCAGCTTGCCTTGTTTCTGCACTAGCCATGACGGAAGGAAAATGACCTCTGCAATCAGTTGCCTGGGGACAGGGGATGCCTCTGATTCAAGTAAAAGGCAGTAAGTGACACTAGCTACAAATTCTTGTTTGAGAAATTAACTTGCATTATCAGTAATCATCATTATTATTACCAATCTACCTAGCCCAGCAGCACTCTTTGCAAAAAACCCAGCAATCAGCAGGTAGATTTGCCTATTTTGTGCATGGTCATGATGTTAACAATGACTCTTAGTTTCATTATACAGAAGGTACTCTGCACAGTTAGGCCTTCTGTATACTGGGTATGAAAAAGTACTTTTTCCAAAAGTGTCAAAGTAAAGATATACAAGATAAAAAGAGTTCTCTCCCCAATGCAGAAATAGTACTATTCATTGCTCAATTACTTAATTACCACCAATTACTATGGAATAACCACCCTTGAAGACCCTTCATACTCTGATTTGCTTGCACTTTCCACTGGCAAATCACAGGCTGAAGCATGTTGAAAGAAAATCAAGAAGACTGGATAATATGAGGAACTCAAAACTCTTCTTTGGCATAAGAGACTGAGCTACAAACCAGGATGTCACCTGTTCAAACTTCACCTCTGCCATGACCTGTTATGTGACCTTGTGCAAATCACTCTTTCTCAGCCACCTTATTCTAATCTGCAACAGGGGAATAATGAGATACCCTATAGGGTTAAATAATGCACACAAAGACCTTTGGACCTTCAGAAATATACAATCACTTTGATGCATGGCAGACAAGTGCAGTTCAGTTTCAAACCACATGTTCAATACCTGTAGAGGCAGAAAAGGACTCCTCCATGAAACCTCCAAGAGTCAGTATAAACAAGCTGTCTACAACAAGCTGTTTTTGTTGGCCTCCCACCATTTGGATGACAACTTCAAGAATTTCTGACCACTGGCTATCCTGGCTACAGGCTGATGAGATCTTAATTCCAAAATATCTGGAGTACTGCGAGTTGGGTTGTGCTTACATCCATATTTGCCCAGTCGCCCCCTGAGATCGGTGGGAGAGGCCCTTCTC